TTCATAGTGGGCTTTTCTTTCTCTCTAATCACTCTCCTGATGGCGCATCACTTGTCAAAACTCATGATGTCTTCGTAAAGGTTTTGTCTTCTTTTTCACACACCTCTGCACCCACTTTTACCTGAAGTTCTCATTTGTAGGTTTAACTTTTCTGTTTTGTTTTCTCTAGCAAGCTTGGACAGCAGGCCCCGAACACCTTCGAGGATCATATGTACTAAATGTTTTGTCTTTGAAACTCTTAGGCAGTTTTAGCTTTTCCTCCTTGTAATGTCATTCCTTCTTCTCTGCATTTCATGTGATGCAATGAAGCTCTTTCGTGGAGCACCCACAGCTTTATAAACAGCATCTCATCTGATTCCATGATATTTTTCTTCATTCAACAGGTAAGAGTCTGAATCATAGAGATGAAAACCCTTTCCCAAGGGCAGATAGCTAAGACTCAAGTGCAGGTTCTGTAAGGTCAAGGCCTGTACTCCTTTATCAGTAAATGCATTTTTTCTGCAGCCCATCCTCCCTCCCTCTCTCCCTCCCTCCTTCATTTTTTAAAATACAGGGTCTCACTATGTCAACCTGGCTGACCTGGAACTCTATGTAGACCAGGATGTCTTGAAATCACAGAGCTCTTACAGCCTCTGCCTCCTGATTGCTGGAATTAAAGGCGTGCACAACCATACCTGGCTTACACTGCTTTTCTTATCTGTTTAACGTGGAAGTCTTCCAACTCCATTTTATAGCTCTTACTTATGTTGTATTAATTCCTAGTCCCAGACTCGTTTATTTTTTTTAACCTTTATTTTCATTTCTTGTCATCTAGACCCTTTTGGCACCAATGTGCTTTTCTGTAGGATGCTCCTTTCCCTTTTAGCTTTCTACTTTGGAAATTATTTTGCAGCGTAGTGGGAATACAGAATTTAACCTTTCCCTCATGTGTTTGCTTGTCTTTGCCTTCTTACCAATAGCATTCGGAGACAATAAGCCATAAAAAATTCATGTTGCCTCTCTCAGTGTACAGCGAAGTTGATTGAATGCTATCTGGATCCATAAAACAAACCACAAGGCTTGCTCTGTCGTGATAGACACCACTTCCTTCATGCAAAGCAAACCTGGCAGGCAGGCAGCCTGCTGGGTGAACACTTCCTGTTAGTGGGAGGATCTTCAAAGTCCTCATGATTCTACCATTCCTTTTGGACCCCACCCCAACCACGGCTCTATTGTTCTCCTTTTCACCATATTAAAGTATATTATGAGCATAAAGATATCTAGAATATCTAGACAATATAAAAGACTTGTTCTTTACAAATGGTACTCACAGTGTTTTCTCCCAAACAGCACTATGGTGAGAGGTTTGCATATATGTTTCCAAATATATTTGTTCTTAGACTATGAAGAACTTTATGGAAAAGTATCCATTAGCCATGCTATTTTATTATTATTATTATTATTATTATCATTATCATCATAATCATTATTATTATTATCTTGATACTGTGTTTTGGGCATGAGCGCATGTGAAAATATGACTATCCAAGTGTTTTATGAGCCACATTTATGTGATTAATATTCTTCTAGGGGGCAGTCACAGCCTCTTGTCCTTAGCTCATCTCTCTCCTCCTTCCCCCTGTCTGCTCAGTCTCCTCCATTGTGTTCCCCTTTCCCTCTTCTTATCATTCACTATCTGTCTTCCTCCTTCTTCCCATTCCTCTTCTAGTCTTCCTCCTCTGACTCCTCCCTTCCTGTTCATTTGCCCTCTTCACTGGTGCTCTTCCTCCCTCCTGATGCTTCTCTTTCCTCTCCTTGCCCCTCTGTACCTCCTCTCCCTGTTCCACTTCTTTGTGCCTAATGGAAGTCGCTCTCCTAGGAAACCACTCATACCACTTTACACTAATAGAACTTCTGCCTCCTGCTCCTCAGCTTGTGTCCTGCATCTGCTTAGTCTCCCGTCGGCATTCATAACTTCAGGGAGTGATATCCTCCCTACCCCCATTCTGAATACGCTATTTTGTCTGATTTCATTTGCATGAATCAGTCAAACAAGACGTGTTAAGCAGGGGGCTGGAGGGCACCAGGAGAAAACGGCCCAGGAATCTACTAAGCAGGGCTCACAGTGGTTCTCAGAGACAGAAGTGGCAAGCACAGGGCCTGCAGGGGTCAGCACCCCATCCTCTGCATGTATGCTATGACTGTTAGCTTGTTGTTTTTGTGGGACTCCGACATGGGGAGTAGTTGTGTTTCTGACTCTTCTGCCTGCTCTTGGGACTCTTTTCCTCCGGTTGTGTTGCATTGTCCAGCCTCGATGTTAAGAGCTTTTGCCTTGTATCTTGTTTTGCTGTCTCTTGGAGGCCTGTTCCTTTCTGAAGGGAGATGGAGGGGGAGTGGGTCTGGGGAAAAGCGGGAGCTGGAGGCCTAGGAAGAGTGGAGGGAAGGGGAGACTGGGACTGGGATGTATTGTATGAAAGAATAATCTATTTCAATAAAAAGGATTTGGGGGGAAAAGGAGTGTGGCTGAAGCTCACAGGGCCAATTTGGTCAGAAGCACCCCCAGAACACAGCTGCAGATCTTGGGCTCACAGTCTAGGCCACAGCCTATCACAGGCTAGGATTGGAATATCATCATTAAGAGTAAGATCAAACAAGGAATCAAGGAACCAATCACACAAGCAAGTGAAAGCAGCTGGCTAGCAACAGCGGGATTAAGCAAGAATTTAAAAGGAAAGATGAAGAGAGGAAAATCCACTAGCATATTTAGCTTATTTAATATTTTATGCTTAGTGAGTTATTCCAGGTGAATTATGAAAGAAATGCAATTGTTTGCCTACTTGGTGACATTGGTTTGTTCCAAACCTATTAAAAATATATAGTCCTTAACTTTCTCAACAGTATAATTTGAGACTAAGCACACAGAGTTCAAAGGAGGCCTAATGAAGCCAGTGCAGTCTGTGCTTGGAGGTAGGAGGATCGTGCCTGATATATCAGTGTAGTTTCTTTTGTAGAATCAAAGGCATTTGTTTGTAGGTTTTCAAGGCTCGATCTTGCAGAGGTTTTCCCTAAGCCATCACAAGTAACTCAGGAAACTATAAACATGTGAATAGATAAGCCAAATGGGAAAGAGAAATAGTTGCTGTAGTTCAAATCTGTCTTCCTAAGTGTAACTGGGCAGTGTGTGTGTGTTTTACTACACCCAGATCACTTTCTCTGTGGCTTTCCCCATGGCTACCTTTGTTTTACATTCAGCAGTCATTGCTTCTTGATTCATGGAACTTTCACCAAATATCATTATTATTCATTATGGCATGCATTTAAGACACAGGTGTAAAATAAAGGACCTAGTCTACAGAGAAGATGAAATTCTTTCTGCAGACAAGAGAGTTTTTTTTTAAAGTAAGGGGGATTAGAGATATAATCTGCCATTACTTCTGGTGTTCTGAAGAGTTTTGGGATTGGGGAGGAATTCAGGGGGAATTCTTGGTATGAATTGCTTTCAGGGCCTACTGCAAGAGACTCTGTTAGCAGTCCTTAACCACTGCTGCCAAAAGAGCTTACTTGCTTTCTTCTTATCACTGGTGAGTTCACTAGCATTTGTGTACTTTGAATTTCTTTAGCTCTAAAGTAATGATGATAGTTTTTCTCACCTCACACTTATTCGAGGTAAATTAAATATCTGAAGTGCTTAAAGCAGGGCCAGAGATCTTCTCTACAGCATTTGACTTTGCTGTCACTGTTTCACAACTTCCACAATGAGGATGAGGATGGTGATTGAGAAGCCCCTTTAAAAAAACTCAGCTATAAAATTTCCATTTTGTTTCTCCAATGCAGAGACTGTACTTTCCCATAACACTCTGCATTTGAGAAATTGCTGTTGCTAGCAGATAATCTGTGTGAACACTTATATAGAGGTGGGGAGAAGAATTATGGACAAAATGTTCTTCAGTTAATAGAGAACTGCTTTCCTACTTACATGCAAGTTTAAATTGTATTATCTTTTTCTGTACCTCCTAGAAAGTGCTTTAGTAGGCATTTATCGTTGGGGCTTTTAAAAATTGTCATATTTATGGAACTTGAAATCTCATAAAAAGTCTGCAGTAGGATTTCCTATTTTTATTGATATTTTAAAATGAAATTAGTGACCCAGGTGTTGGTGGCGCATGCCTTTAATCCCAGCACTCGGGAGGCAGAGGCCATCAGATCTCTTGAGTTTGAGGCAAGCCTGGTCTACAGAGCGGGTTCCGGGACAGCCTTCAAAACAATACAGAGAAACCCTGTCTCGAAAAACCAAAAACCAAACAAACACAAAAACCCAAAAAAACAAAAACCCAAAAAACCCCAAATAAGTAAAATGCAATAAGTGTTAATGCAAAGGCAAGCCTGTGCTCATCACACAACATAGAATTTCTAAGACTAGCAGAGATCTAGAGCACCAAGAACAGTATCCAGAACAGAGTGAACTTGGTGAGTTGTTGAGGAATGAATGGCTCATTGTACATTCACTTCAATTCACGGCAGAAGAAACTGACAGGATAATTTGCTAGTGGTCACACAGTGACATAGGAAGTGGAATGAACAGTTCTTGATGCCATCATGCTTTAATTATTGATGTCATATTTAAATTGTAATATGAAGATGACTTTCAATTTAGTCTTTGAATAACTTTAGGATGTGCGGAAATATTAAATTTCTGGGTTAATATCTATTACATCATCGGAAGGCAGTTGTAAGAATATGTTCATACAAGTCAAAGGATTGATTTAAGGGGCGACTAATTTAAAATGTCTGTAAGTGACTTGTTCAAGGTGTGTCAAATGATTCATTCCCTCTGTCCCTGCTGTAAGCTTTTTGTTCTCTTCTGTGATGTATTATTATAGTTTCTCATACACCATCAATGACTTTTAGTTGGAACAATCTATCTCCTCTGGGATATAACCCATCTCTTACTTCTCTGGATTTCTCAAATGTTCAAGCCACAGCAGTTTTCACGTTGATTGATTTTTTTTGCTGTTTCACAGGATGGAAGAACAGAGTCAAGTTCATGCACCTGTTTGAAGGGGCCCAAGCTGTCAGAGATAGGAACAATTGCCTGGATGATCACACTTTGTGATGCCCTCCACAACTTCATCGACGGCTTGGCAATCGGGGCATCCTGTACCTTGTCTCTTCTTCAGGGACTTAGTACTTCCATAGCCATCCTGTGTGAGGAGTTTCCTCATGAGTTAGGTGAGAGACCCTGCTCATAGGGTAAGAGGTGATGGAATCTTACACTGGGAAAATCCTGTTTCTGTACTGAAATGAATGACCCATTGTTGGAAATTGTTGCTGTTGTTGTTATCACTATTATTTAGGTCTCGTCCCCAAACAGAAGGAGACACAGCTCACTTGATGTTTTCTTCTTCTAGGGGACTTTGTGATCTTGCTCAATGCAGGGATGAGCACGCGACAAGCTTTGCTATTCAACTTCCTTTCTGCATGTTCCTGCTATGTTGGGCTAGCTTTTGGCATTTTGGTGGGCAACAATTTTGCTCCAAACATTATATTTGCACTTGCTGGAGGCATGTTCCTCTACATTTCTCTGGCAGATATGGTAAGACATTCAAGCATTTTATTTTGTATTGGTTTGACTTTTACAAATGAGCATCTGGGTTATGAGTTGAGCAGCCCACTGTCTTCAGGTCTGAGAGGTAACCCAGAGTTTTCCCCTCCCAGAACATCCCACTTGCACTAACAGTAACTTGAAATGGCTGTCCTTTGTTCTTTGGTATCTGATCTCATGGACAGTGATGAAGTGACCAATTTTTACTAGAACAGTGCTATTTTCCAAGGCCTTCTTTATGTAACTTCTATTATAGTAGGATTTTTGTAAGGCCTTCTCTTGCATAAGGATATCACATTTAGAAGAATAAATAACTTGGTAGAATAAATACCATTTTTAAAATTGAAAATGATTCACAATGAAATCTTTTAAAGTTAAAACTATTATACTAAGTTAAGAAAAATTAAAATTTAGCGATATTTATTTGTTTATTTGTTTTGTTTTGGAGAAAGGGTTTCTCTTTGTAACAGCCTTGGCTGTCTTGGAACTCACTTTGTAGACTAGGCTGGCCTCAAACTTACAGAGATTAGCCTGTTTCTGCCTCCTGAGTGCTGGGATTAAAGGCATGTGCCACCACCCCCAGCTAAAATTTGACAATATTTATTTGGGTCAGTATGCATTATGTCTGTATTTTTATGCCTCTCTCTCTCTCTTTCTCTCTCCCTCCCTCTCTCCCTCCCTCCCCCCCCTCTCTCTCTCTGTATATAGATAAATAACCTTTGTGTTTTCTAGGGCATCATGGACAGTTTTCTAGAAAATGATATGTCAGAGTATTTAAATCAAAGATTTGCTTGCATTTGGAAGTTAATGTATTACATACAATTTAATAACTTAACATCTCTCCTCTCTATTATAAGCTCCAAGTTCTAAGTGTCTGGTTCAGTTCTCTGTTCAGTGAAGCCCCTTGAAAAAGTGAGGGTTCAGCTCTTACAGCCATCACAGCACTTAAATTTTTCTTCCCCAGAATTATGTTACACACTGTCCTTATTCCAGATGGCCACTTCTTCCCATGATGTAAAAAGACTCTACTGAAGTTATTCCCTTTATAGAAGTGATGCTCTACGTGACATGGTAGTTTTCTCATTTTAGAACTGTCACCCATTTTATCCCAGTAAGACCTTCTCACCAGTTCTGACTTCCCTGTGGAGTCTGGAGATCCCTAGCCTGGCTACATATAGGGCTTCACAGCGTATGCGGCAGATCATACCAAAATGTGTTTCTAACGCCTGACTTACATGTCCCCTTGTGTAGCGTTTCCAGTAGATGCTATTGCTGAGAAAGAGAAAATGTATTTATCTGATTTTTTAAAACTGAAACATCTAGGATTTTATTTGTGTTCACTATAATGAAACAACTATAATGTTCAGCACTAGACCAATACACAATTTATTATAAAACCATGTTATTCTGTGAAGATAGAGCAAGCACAAAGGGACAAACTAGAAAAGACAAGAAGTAAATCAAGTTACTTCAAAACACTGGTTCAGTCAGCTACACAAGGTTTTCCTCTCTACAGCCAGTCCTGAAATTCTAAGACAGGTAGGGGACTTGCTTTCCTGAGGGTTCCTGTCTAGCAGAACCAAGTCGGAATTTAAGCAAACAAAACTGCCCCACATCTAACAAGAAGGGTCCCTAAGACCACACAAGCACGGTGTGGTGTCACAAGGCAGGATGATTAGACATCCAAGGTCATCATCAATGACATAGTGAGTTGTAGGGGTAGCCTGGGCTAAGCAAGAAACAACAATAATGAAGTCATACAGAAGACTGAATAGCAGCAAATAATTTCTAAGTACTATGAAGTGAGAAGAAAGGGTTACATGTAATGGGAGACGAAAAGGACCCTAGCATAAGCCAGAAAGGACTAAAGGAAGTTCCCAGAATGCATGCCGGAGGGTGAAACCTGAAGGGTTGAGTTCCTTAAAATTTGAGGTGTAGACAATAGTTTATGGGAAGAGTGTCGAGGGGAGAATGTTTCAAACCAGGTGCATCCGGTGTGGCTGTGTGGCTCATGTGAGCATTTCAGTTGTTTTACTCTGGGCGCCCCAATATACTAGAATTTATGAGACCTGAACCAAAACTTTGACCTGACCGAAATGAACGCTCATTTCCCCCGTAGAAACCCCAGACAAGCATTTCAGGTTTCACCACAAGATGGCGACAGCTCTTTAATAATGTATCTTCTAGTTTCCAGAGATGAACGACATGCTGAGAGAAAAAGTAACTGGAAGAAAAACGGATTTCACCTTCTTCATGATCCAGAACGCCGGGATGTTGACTGGGTTCACCGCCATCCTGCTCATCACGTTGTATGCGGGGGAAATCGAGTTGCAGTAGCCGGAAGTGGAACATAGTGTTGTGAAGGAAGGGATAACACAAAACATCTCCAAAGGGATTTTTTTTAAAGCGTATCCTATTTAGTTACAAGAGATTTTTATTTTCAACTAGAGGTTAAGAAGTCTAGCGGCTGGCTTCAGACAATGTAAAATAGGTGAAATTTGCTGTTGAAGAAATTCTTTAAAAGGTTTATTCGGTTTCAGTCTGAAATGGCAGGTGTTTGGGGGCCTTTGGTCAATACCAGTTTTTCAGTGCTTTATGCATATTAGAAAATTATCACGAGGCAAAACACATGCATTCACAAGCATGCACACGGACCCAGAGAAAAACACAATCTAGGTCATGCAAGGCTTTAAAACTTGGTCGGATAAAAGAAATTCAAGTGCGTTCAGAGTGGTTTTCTTTCAATTAATGTGTTCTGCTGCTTTTGAGGGCAGGTGCACCAAATGTGGGAGGAAATCAAAACAGCTCCGGTGCACCCATGGGCGATTGCAGAGATTTAATGATCCCCAGAAAGACAGATTGCTCACAGCATTTGTTGAGTTTTGTGTCTCAATTAGCGACTTGTAGGATGGTGTCGAAAGCTCTTCCAAAGTAACTTGAATTAGGAACTCTGAAAGGCTTGCTAGCCCCGTGAAGCTTGGGGTTAGGGGTTTGTGTGTGAGTGTGAATTGGACCAGACTCTCACATGGCTTCCCAACGACTTACGTTGTGGTTCCAATCCCCAGAAATGGCAGACAACTATGCAAGACTGGTCAGAAGTCTGTCTCACCACATTCTAGGATTGCTTTGTGGTGGTGAAGAATATGTTGGGTGGGAGAAAGATATTGAATGTAATTTTGAGCAATTTACTTTTTAGAGATAAGCATAATTGTTTAGCAGGGAAAATTTCAATAAATGCAAAATAACAGCTGGTCTGTGCTGTGTCAGAGACTGACTGACGATGGAAGCGTGTGCTCCTTAGGGGTGACTGACAGCCAGCTGGAAACGTCTTCTGTGTTCAGCCTGTATTTTTCCATATGGTGTACCTTTGGAGGAAACTCAGCACACTGTGATTATTTTCCTACCTTTTGTAAGAGACAGAGCTTGTTGAGTTTCCAGCAGGTAGTAGACCATTAGTCTGAATTGAACATCCCAGTCTCAAGTCACACTCCCAAGTAATTTTCAAAAAGATGGGTTGACAGCGATGAAAACTACTAATAGATACCAACAGTTATCTCAGGAATCATGTTTCCCTATAAGGCAAAACATGTTTTCTTCCAGTAACAATGCAAATTTGATAACCGTTTAACACACGTTTGTGTATATTTCACTCTATGTCTGACAATTGAAAAATATTATTTGACCAAACAGTAAACACCTTTGAAGCCACGTATCTGTGTCAGTCATTTTTCTTTTCCTATGACTCTGCTTTGAATGACTATTATGTACCTGGTGTTATGGGGAAGGGGGGGACAAATAGGAAATTGACATTTCAAAGATATCTAGCAAAGAAATCCTACAAAGATTTATTTTTCATTTCAATAAACACAATCTATATTGTTGCATATTTCCTATGCATTTAATAATCCTTGCTTTAAAAAGTATTGGTTGTATTATTTTTAAAAATAATTTTTAAAATTTTACTTCATGTGCATTTGTATTTGCCTGCATGTATGCTCGTGTGAAGGTGCTAGATCCCCTGAAACTGTAGTTATAGGCAGTTGTGAGCTACCATGTGGGTGCTGGGAGTTGAACCTGGGTTCTCTGGAAGAGCAGCCAGTGCTCATAAGCATTGATCCATCTCTCCAGCCCATTTATATGTATTTTTAAAGAAACAATTTATGGCACAATATTTTAAAAAGGTAGTTTAGTTATCCTCATTGTACGTGTGGATTTTCTGGAGACTTTTTGGCATGCTTTTTTTTTTTGGAGAACAAAGGACATGGAGTAGTGAGAACTCCAAAGCAAAAGACAATCACTGTCGGAGTGGAGGCAGAGGGAAAGCCATGATGGCATTTACACTACCCTGGTTGACTGTCTTCAAGTAAACACAGTCCTGTCAGTTAATTTGTCTTCTATGGAGGCATACACTATACTAGATGAATATTCTATACTCTTAATATCTTTCGGAGAAAGGATTTATTTCTTATTACAGGTTGCAAATCATCGTTGAGGGGAGTCAGGGCTGGAACTCAAGCAAGAACTCAAGCAGAAACCATGGCAGAACATGGCTTACTGGCTGTCTCTGGCTTGTTTGGCTCACTTCAGTAGCAGCTCTCTAGTTGGACTTAGAGCCTACTCAACAAGAAGGAAATAATGCCTGGTACTGGAAACCTAGCTGACTGTCCAGGGGCTAGTGAGGTCATGGATGTTGGAGGGGAGCCTACAACCACTACTTAATAAACCAGCATAATCATCAGAATTTAGAGATATTACCAGGGTAAATAAAAAAAAACTTTACTGTATAATGTATCAGAATATATACATAGATTTTCATATATATACATATATATATGTATAAATGTATTTGTCATTGTTGAACTTTAAAGAATGGATACTAATAGTTGGTATTCATAAGGTACTGTAGAAGACCCAGTTACCATGTTAAAGCTGTGTCCCAAAGCACCTTGGGAAACTGAGGTTCACAGAGTAGGTCATCTACTACAGAGGTGTTGATAGATGGCCAGCTGATCGTGTCATGGTTTCAGGGTGTGTCTGAACAGTATAGTGGCTGGAACAGTAAATTCACGTGGTGAAGGCATAGATGCCCAAGTCCAGGTGTGAGAAAGGTGCACACACATTTCAGCCTTAAGTAGTCCCTATGAAGTATCCATTATTTCATTTTTTCCTGATTGAAGACACCTAATATTAGTGATAATCAGAAGTTCCCAGAGCCACCTCCTCTTCTAATATCTATCTAAATCTCTGTAATGAAAATGGTTTCTTTTCCTTACCCATATGGGTCATGATGGGCAACTGCACCCTGGCTCAGTCCTATTGAGGACAATTGATGTCTGCTTAGTTTCCAGTTGCCCTTCGGCCCTGGCTTCTTCCTGCAGCAGCAGCAGTGGGATGCAGCCAGCTTTCGAGCTCAGTGTTGGGCGTCTCTGGAGGCTACATAGGATTATAATGATTTCTAGATGCTCAGTGAGGCCCGAGACCTTGCTGAGTAGCTCTGATTTACCACATTTAAATGCCTGTCCAATCTTGCTCTGCTTGGCATTATCTTCCTGCAGGTCTCTCTTTGATTTTACCAGGAGGCTGCCATGATTTTCAGACGATTTCTGTGTTACTTAAGATCTGTTGTAGTATAAGAGGTTCTCAGATGGATCCTCTCGGCTGCATCACCACAGATCCTTCTTAATGGATACTTTGCCTTCCACACCATGAGTTTCAATCCCTGTACTTGTTGCTTTCCCGTCAGTTTCCTTTCTGCGTTAAGGATGTGAGACACTTTCCTCAGGACCACTTGGATTCCTAGTTGAAAACTCTAGCTTTTCTCTGGTTCCAGAGCTGGAGATTCTACCATAAAATTTAAAGACAACGAAAAACAAACTGGATAAACTGAAAACTCCAAATATCATCCATTAATTAGAAGCCACTTTCCTTCCCACCATATTCTAGAATTTTCGAATAGATAGCATTCCACAGGCATTGGGAATGACATGGCATTTTGGAGACGGTTCTTAGATGTTTATAAGAAAATGATAGTATCATGGCATGGAAGATTTGAAACTAGGGTTTAAGGGTAGGAGGTTTTCTCTCAGTTGCATGGAAGAGCTGTACACTGCAACATGGTGTAGCACAAATAATAAAAACCCAGAGTCAGATATTGGGGTTAAAGCTGAAGATCAGAGAAGCAAAGCAGCCAAGCCACCAGAGAGCTCTTATTTCTACCGCGGCTGGGGAGATCCTGTCCTCAGTGTGCCTGGAGACTAATTGCCTAGACTGAATGCCAGCTCTGAGACCCAGCTCCTGTCTTATATCCCTCTCTAGTGCTGGTATTAAAGGCGTGCACCACCATTGCCCAGCATCTGTGGCTAACTAGTATGGTTGCTGGGATTAAAGGCGTGTGCCACCACTGTCTGGCCTCTATGACTGTAGCTAGCTTTGCATTCTGATCTCAAAACAAGCTTTATGAGATCATAAACAATATGTCACCACAACGTGGGGCTGGCACGCCAGTCTTTGAAGCCCAGACTCCTTCCATTTGTCTGCTGTGCTGCATCCAGCCTCTGATTCCTTCCCACTTCCAAGTGACTTTCTATCTTCTTAAGATGGTTCCTAGAGATCTAACTTTGAACTCTAAACTCCACCTAGCAGGAAGGAGGACTGGATAGGAAGGCAGACAGTTCCTGCTCAGCTCTTTCCTCACCCCCCTTTGAGCAATACTTGTTAGAAGTAAGAGCCAATGGCATTTATTTATATCCACTGATTAGAATGAGTCTCATGTATAGACCAGCCTTTAGCTAGGCAATATTGCATTCAGCTGGATCCACTTGCACAGGGGGAAAAAATCAAGACTTGTCACTAAGAAAAGCCAAGAATGGCTATGTGCATTGGCCATCCTTCTGGTCCAAACAGAAGGATGTGTGTGTGGGCCGGGAGTTGATGTTCAATGTCTTTCTCAGTCCTTTCCAATCCCACTCTTTTTGGAAACAGCATTTCTCACTAAACCTACAGTTCACCAGTTCAGCTAGATTGTGTGGCCAGCAAGCCACAGAAGTTCTGCCTTCACATCTCCAGCTCTGAGATTACAGGCAAGGGCCTCCATTCCTGGCCTTTCCTGTGGGTGTTGGGGATCTGACCTCAGGCACTCTTGCTTATTCAGTAAGCACTTTACCTGTCTTTAGTCAATGACTTGTATCATAGCTGGTCTTATTCTTTTTATTAGCGTTCATTAACGATGCAGAAGAATGGGTTACTTTGTTATTTTCATATGTATACATATATACATATTTCATATACATACTTTTCACACATACACATAATGTATTTTGCCTTTATCATACACCAGTGTATTTTTGCTATTTTCACAGGTGTAATGATTTGACATATTTACATACACAAGATATTTTTCAGTTTCCACACACAAAGCATTTGGACACACACGATGTGTTTTGACATTCACACACATGCACGCACACACGCACGCATGCGCACTCAGTGTGCTCTGCTCACACCCCCATCATTCCCTTCTCATGCTGCTAACCCCAGTTCCTCTGCTTGCACAGTGTTTCTTCACATCTTATTTGACCCAACAAGGTTAACTCAGCGGCCGAGTGAGGGCTCAGTTACAGAAGCAGAGGCATCTTCCTGATGGCTGCACCACTGATGGAATCCTCCTGCCTTCCCAGCAGCCATCAATGCTGGAGAACCTCAGGAAGAGGAAGAGAGCCTTCCCTACAGGCCCCTCCTCCCCTCACAGCAGGAGACTGACGTTAGAGCCAGTGTTATTTGTATACAGATGTGCTCATTGTTTTTCCTGTCTCAGTCTGTTATGAGTGGCATTTATTTACCTTAAACATTTTTGTTTTTCATATGATAGTGTAAAATTTAAGAAAACATAAAAGAATTGTTTATGCATTAAATCAATCTAACTAGAAGATTCATGTCCAGGACAATGAAATTAAGTGCTATTAGAAGAAATTAGCACTATGTTTTAGAAATTATGTGTTTTGTTTTATCTGTGTGCCAGTTATTGACATTCTGTATAGGAAAATTTAGGTCTAAAATGTTACTTGTTCCATGATTTTTGTGGAAAACAATTTGAAAACATTTTATCAGAATAAATAAATAAAATTGTAGGTAATTGAGTGGTTTGAGTGGTCTATACAACAAGTCTCTATTTCATATGTTTTTGTTTGACTTGAGCTCTGCTTCCACCTAACGTAATTATATGACTTTACACTCCCCAGAGTCCTGGATCATCCCAAGTTTCGACCAGAAGGCCTAGACAATCCTATCCCCAAAGCAGGTTTCAAAGGCCAATAATAAATAAAATCAAAGTTGAATTTTATTTACTCCAAATATGCACTTCAAAAACCAGTGCCTCCAGTAACATGTTGAAATACCCTCTGTTTTAAATGCTAGGCCAGGCTGTAGCTGAGAAGTCACAGAAGGATCGCATGATCTCAGGACATATCTGGGCAGAGCATGACAGGAGTCCTGCCATCCATATGCTGCTGACTCCACAGAGCAGGGGAGCCCCTTTCTGATGAAACACCTGCCAGAGAGCTCACTGTGGTGCCTGCCTCCTGTAGAGGACTGGTGATTAAATATATCCTGTCCATTGTGGCAGAGCTTGTATTGGGATGTCAATAGAAAGCTGGGTAGTAGTATGTCAATAAATGATACAGGTAGCATGACCCAATAATAGCCAATCAAGA